ACAGAATGAGTCTGGAAGCAAAGTTGAAAACAGAACTCCTCAATCCTACACCCTTGCCAGGGGAATTCACAAACAACCTTGGGAAGGCCTTTGGACATTTATAACATGTCCAGGCTCATTTTCTAAATCTTTTTTTTTTTTAATGTTTTATTTATTTCTGAGAGAGAGAGAGAGAGAGAGACAGCATGAGCAGGGGAGGGTCAGAGAGAGAGGGAGACACAGAATCTGAAACAGGCTCAGGCTCTGAGCTAGCTGTCAGCACAGAGCCCGATGGGGGTCTCAAACCCACGAACTGCGAGATCATGACCTGAGCCGAAGTTGGATGCTCAACCAACTGAGCCACCCAGGTGCCCCATCATTTTCTAAATCTTAAGGGTCCAGATAGGAGGGTCTGCGACTCCATAGTGTAGGCTTGCCAGATAAAATACAGGACACCCTGTTAGGTTTGAGTTTTAGATAAACAGGGGTGACTTTTTTAGTATAATTATGTCCCAAACATTATGTTGGGTATTTTTTTTTTTTTTTTTGTAGCAATGAGTATTCTCACAAGGGCTTCCCACAGATACCCAAGATAGCTACCTTGTTGAATCTGGGCTTCCTTCGCAATAAGCAATATAGTCTCTTGAAAAAGAGCCTTGGGTCTGAATCAAGGCTATGGTCCTATAGAACACAACTTCTTCATTTCTTTGCTTCTCTCTCTCTTTTTTAAGTTTATTTATTTATTTTGATAGAGAGAGAGAGAGAGAGCACACACTTCAGCAGGGGAGGTGTGAGAGTGAGGAAGAGAGAGAATCCCAAGCAGGCTCTGCACTGCCAATGTAGAGCCCAACGCAGGACTTGATCCCACGAACCTCAAGATCATGACCTGAGCCCAAATCAAGTCAGATGTTTAACCAACTGAGCCACCCAGGCGCCCCTCTGCCTCTCTTTTCCTCCTTATTCTTAAACTTTCTCTTGCAATCACCTCCCATAATTCTATAAAGTAGAGACAACTGAGGGGGCACTAAGGGAAGGAATTGAGATATAGTCTCCTCTTCCAAAAAGGCAGGATGGTAGTGCCTACTTATCAAGTTGTTGTGAAATTTCAATGAATTAATACATGTAAAGTATTGAGAACAGTGTCTGGCATCGATGACATAGTAGTTTTGGCTCCAGGGCCTCGTGTCCAGGGTCAAGAAGCCTTTGACTAATGTGATCACCACTGTTGCCCTCCACTAATCTATTCTCCACACTACAGCTAAGGATCTTTTAAAAACGCAAATCTGACCATGTCATGGATTTTTATGACTTTGAATAAAAACCTACAAGGTCCTGATTGCTTTTGCTTTTACTTATTTCTCCAATTTAACAGCTTGTCTCTTTTCCCTTTCTGTTTTCGGGACACAGAGCCTTTCTCAGTGCCACCAAGGTGGTGCCGCTGCTGTGCTTTCTACCTGAAAGATTTTTCTCCTCTCTGTCCCCCACTTCCTCATGTCAGTTCATACTCATTTTTCAGTCCTTGTCAAAGAATACTTCTTTTTTTTTATGTTTTGTTTATTTCTGAGAGAGAGAGGGAGAGAGAGAGACAGCGTGAGCAGGGGAGGGTCAGAGAGAGAGGGAGTCACAGACTGAAACAGGCTCCAGGCTCTGAGCTGGCAGTCAGCACAGAGCCCGACGCGGGGCTCGAACCCACGAACCGTGAGATCATGACCTAAGCGAAAGTCAGATGCTTAACCGACTAAGCCACCCAGACGCCCCGCCTATAAATTTTTTTTTGATGTTTATTCATTTTTGAGAGAGAGAGAGAGAAATGGACAGAGAGAGGGAGACAAGAATCTGAAGCAGGCTCCAGGTTCTGAGCTAGCTGTCAGCACAGAGCCCAATGCTGGGCTTGAACACACGAACCGTGAGATCATGACCTGAGCCGAAGTCGGACGCTTAACCGACTGAGCCACTCAGGCGTCCCCAATGAATACTTCTTTAGGGAAACCTTCCATAACCTCCTAGTCTAGATTACAACCCATGATTTAGAGCATTCTGTAGTCTTCCTTCATAGCCATTGACTACAGTTTCTAATTATATATTTGTGTGATGATTATATCTTAAGCCCCATGAGGACAGAGACCACGTCCATCTTGTCAGCCACTGTAGTTCTCAGGCCTAGCATAATGTGAGAAATAAGCCCACTGACCCCCCCCACGCCCTCCCCGTGCTCCCCCTCCCCCTGCCAAAGGAGGGACGCCGAGAGTCAGAACACAGTGAAGCGAGGCAAGAGCAGGTGTCTGATGGACAGGCACACTCGGGCAGTGACAGCAGACTGTTTACCTCTTAAGGGGCAAGTGCTTTACCTGATTCCTCATTGGCTGACTACTACAGAGTTTACAGCCTTACCCGGAAGTCGCCTATGCCCATATAAGGCAAAAAGTGGTCCATTGGAACAAATGTACATTTCTTTAGGTGAGGCAGAGACTTTCAGTCTCTCCTTTGTTCTTTGATGCATGCTCATTGCAAAGCCTGTGAAAATACATTGGCGAGGGGCGCCTGGGTGGCTCAGTCGGTTAAGCACCGACTTAGTCTCTGGTCATGATCTCACGGTTCCTGGGCTCAAGCCCCGCATTGGGTTCTGTGCTGACAGCTCAGAGCCTGGAGCCTGTTTCAGATTCTGTGTCTTCCTCTCTCTCTGCTCATCCCCCACTCGGGCTCTGTCTCTCTCTGTTTCAAAAATAAATTAACTATTAACAAATTTTTTTTAAAAAAGAAAGTCGGCGAAAATAAGCTCGCAAAACGGAGAGGGGAAGATGAACCAGGAAGTGAAGTGTCTAAGGGTTTGGGACTCCATTATGGGGGGGGGGTTCATATATATTCCCAATAGGTTGTAAACCTACTGTCAACTAGATAGGACAGCTTTTATTTGACATTTCTGAAAATGAATCATCTCCTTTACCTCTCACACATAACAACTGACACATACTAGGTACTAAACCAAAAAAAAATTTTTTTTGATGAATTAGAGTTATATGTTAGGGGGGTGCCTGGGTGGCTCAGTCAGACTTTGGCTCGGGTCATGGTCTCGCGGTTCGTGGGTTCGAGCCTTGCATCAGGTTCTGTGCTGGCAGCTCAGAGCCTGGAGCCTATTTCGCATTGTGTCTCCCTCGCTCTCTGCTCCTCCCCCACTCATGCTATGTGTCTCTGTCTCAAAAATAAGTAAACTATAAAAGAAATTTATAAAAAAAGTTACATGTTACACCAGGTTCAGTACTACAGCCCATGGGTGAATCTGACCCACTACCTCTCAGACCTGTAGGCTAAGAATGGTTTTTATATTTTTAAATGATTGGAAAAAGTCAAAAGAAGAATGATATATCTTGACACACGAAAATTAAGTAAAATTCCACTTCCGTGTCCATGAATACATTTTTATTGGAACATAGCCCTGCATGTTCATTCATGTATTCTCTGTGGCCACTTTTGTGCTATAGCGACAGAGTATTGTGAAAGAGACCAGATGGCCCACAAAGCCAAAAATATTTACTATCTGGCCCTTCACAGAAAAAATTTGCTGACCCTTGTGTTAAACAATAGTAATTTTGGGCTCTGGGGCAGCTTGTGTTCAAAAGCACCTGCAGGTGGCTTTTCTCAATTGTTAACAGTTTGCTTCTGTTGCTGAAACAAGTGATCTATTTATTTTGCTTAGTTGGTAGGATTAATTAAAGTGACTTTCCTTTGTCCTTTGTTTTTCTGTGTCTCCATCAACATACAGAAGCCCCCCAAAAGAAATCAGTCATCTGGCATACTCCTTTGCCAGTAGTATGATCATGTAACTGTTCTCTGCCATCAAATTTCCCAGTTCTTTCTGTAATTCATGAATTTCTTTCCCAAATGAGATGAGTTGATAGGTGGTAGTAATGAATTTAAATAGAGTGCCTACATTTTCCCATCAACTTTCCTTCAACACTAGAAATGGATTAAGAAGTGTTTCCTCTCTTCTTTTAAAGGGACTATTTCCCTTACCAGTTACAAATTCATACTTACCAGAGTAACAGTTTAAAATACGCATTAGGGGCGCCTGGGTGGCTCAGGTCATGATCTCATGGTTCATGGGTTCAGGCCATGCATCGGGCTCTGTGCTGACTGCTAGCTCAGAGCCTGGAGCCTGTTTCAGATTCAGTATCTCCCTCTCTCTCAGACCGTCCCCTGTTCATGCTCTCTCTCTCTCTCAGAAATAATAAAAGAAAAAATTTAAAATACGCATTAAAGGTTTTAAGATAATTTCAAAGGGATTTCACAAGAGTACTAGATAACCATTTCAATGGGGACAAATTATGTGTTCATTCCTTTAAATTATTTAATTTAAAAATCTAATCTGTGGGATGCCTGGGTGGCTCAGTCAGTTAAGTGTCCAACATTGGCTCAGATCAGCTCAGGTCATGATCTCATGGTCTGTGAATTCAAACCCCACATGGGGCTCTGTACTGACAGTTCAGAGCCTGGAGCCTGCTTCAGATTGTGTCTCCCTCCCTCTCTGCCCTTCCCCTGCTCATGCTCTCTCTCTCTCTCTCTCTCCTTCAAAAATAAATAAACATTAAAAAGATCCAATCTGTAAAGTAACCACTATACAGTCCCTTGGCTGTGGAATTCAAAGACACTGAGAAATGGACAAAGGGGATTGTACTGAATATAGGTGTTTTCCCTTATGTTATGCCTTTTACTTCTGAAAGCTGTTTGTGAGTAGAAATAGATCAAGTTGAATAATATTCTCTAAATTCCCTCAGAGTAATCCACTTATAAAGTCAGTATTTAATCCTTGATTTATCTCTTCTTTAAATTCACATTTTCAAACAGTGGGTCTGTTTAGAGTGGAAGTCTCTTTGTAATGATGAAAAAAAAGAAAAATGGCAAAATACTAACATATCACCAGTAAGATATTTTTGACAAAGTCAAGATCTTATCGATAAAGGTATCCCAATTAATAAAATATTAAAATATAAAGCTCGTAAATGATCTAAAATAGGTATAGAATATGAAGACAAAATAAGTATATTTTATTAATAGAAGATGAGTTCGTACACATTAATCATGTATTCCACTGAACAAGCAATCAGTTATCTGAAAAAAAAAAAGAAATCAATTACTTGACCCAGTTTAGAAGGTGATATTTCTAGACCTTTACCGTAGCATCAGAAGATTTCTTCTATACAATGCTTAGCCATTATGAACTCTCCCATCATAAAAAATTTATATCTGATTGGATTGCATTATTTAAAAAAGCACTTTGGTATATAATTATGTATACTTGAGTATACATACATATATAAATACATTTGCATTAATATAACACAAACATTTCCCCATGTGCTTTTGTTTTTACTTTTCACCAAATCATTTATTTTTTACCTTTTCTATTTTATTTACTTTTTATTATTTTTCATTTATAGTTTGTCAAGTTGGTTTCCATATAACACCCAGTGCTCATCCCAACAAGTGCCCTCCTCCATACCCATCACCCCTTTTCCCCTCTGCCCCCCATCAACCCTCAGTTTGTTCTCAGTATATAAGAGTCTCTTATGGTTTCCCTCCCTCCTTTTCCTTAACTATTTTTTCCCCTTCCCCTCCCCCATGGTTCTCTGTTAAGTTTCTCCTGTTCCACATATGAGTGAAAACATTTCATGTGCTATAATATGGCTTATATTATCATTATCATAACTGTGACAGGATAGGAATTATGATATTTATCAATGGTTATCAGCCACTTAACCTAAATTTCTGGAAGTTCAGAAAATATCTAGGTAAAATTTTTTTTAAAAGAGCAATTAAATTTTTATTGTTTGATTCATTGACAAACAATGGGGGAACTTTCTAAGGATTAAACAATGATTTTTAAAAAGTGGTAAGCTTCCCAAAAGAATAGGAAGGGAACTCAATAAGACATGGTAGATGTAGGGGTGCCTGGTGGCTCAGTAGATTGGGCTGTCGACCTGGGCTCAAGTCATGATCTTATGGTTCATGGGTTCGAGCCCCGCGTCAAGCTCTGTGCTGACAGCTCAGAGCCTGGAGCCTGCTTCGGATTCTGTGTCTCCCTCTCTGTCTGGCCCTCCCCTGCTCACACTGTCTCTCGATCTCTAAATAAAAATAAACAAACATTGGGGTGTCTCTATCAAAAATAAACAAACAATGGGGTGCCTGGGTGGCTCAGTCAGTTAAGTGTCCGACTATGGCTCAGGTTATGATCTCACAGTTCGTTAGTTCGGGCCCTGCATCGGGCTCTGTGCTGACAGCTAGCTCAGAGCCTGGAGCCTGTTTCAGATTCTGTGTCTCCCTCTCTCTCTGACCCTCCCCTTCTCACACTGTTTCTCTCCCTCTGAGAAATAAATAAAAATCTTTTTTTTTTTTTTTTAAATTTTTTTTTTAATGTTTTATTTATTTCTAGGAGAGAGAGAGAGACAGCCTGAGCAGGGAAGGGTCAGAGAGAGAGGGAGTCACAGACTGAAACAGGCTCCAGGCTCTAAGCTGGCAGTCAGCACAGGGCCCAACGCGGGGCTCGAACCCACGAACCGCGAGATCATGACCTAAGCAAAAGTCGGAGGCTTAACCGACTAAGCCACCCAGGCGCCCCAATAAAAATCTTTACTAAAAAAAGTTTTTAAAAAAGACATGATAGATGCAGAAATGAATTCAAGTAGCATTTTGCAAGGGCTTTCATAAATAATAAGAGTTTCTTTACCAATGTTCTGGCAGGAAGCTAGCATGCCCGTTAGTGTGACCTATGACATTTACTCACAGGTAGAGTGAAAATTAACAGAAAATCAAATAGTTTTTCCTCCTATGGACATCATGGGGGAAAAAAAAACCTTAGGAATATTTTAATTTCTAAACCATTGTTTAATAATAGATGAAAAGAGGCAGCAGACCGCATAACTTAAAGTGCAATGAGTATGCTAGTCTCAGTTGGAGGTTTGTGCAAGTTCTTTATAATGTCCAATTTATTCAAAGAACTTTTATACTGAAGTTATGACCTTCCCAATTTTGGTTTTTAAAATATTCTTATTTTATGAAATAATGGGAAGAACAAATAGATAATTTATTTTATATTTATTTTTATGCCTTTACTTTGTAAAATAAAAAAGTTGTTAAGGCCATGTTAGTTACCAAAAATTCCTTGCAATTTTTACTAGTCCATGAAATAACGTTTGGGAACCAGTGATCCAGACTAATTTTTTTTTTTTTAATATTTTTATTTATTTCTAGGAGAGAGAGAGAGAGAGACAGCGTGAGCAGGGGAGGGTCAGAGAGAGAGGGAGACACAGACTCTGAAACAGGCTCCAGGCTCTGAGCTGGCAGTCAGCACAGAGCCCGACGCGGGGCTCGAACCCACGAACCGCGAGATCATGACCTAAGCGAAAGCCGGACGCTTAACCGACTAAGCCACCCAGGCACCCCCAGACTAATTGATAAGACAGATTTACAATAAAATATTAAGTAGTTAAACTATTCCTAGGGGCTGCTGGCTGCTGGGTGGTTTAGCCAGTTGAGCGTCTGAGTCTTGGTTTCAGCTCAGGTCATGATCTTGCAGTTCCTGAGTTCAAGCCCCAAGTCAGGCTCTGGGTTGCCAGTGTGGAGACTGCTTGAGATCCTATCTCCCTCTCTCTCCACTCTGGCTTATGCTCTCTCTCTCTCAAAATAAATAAATAAAACTTAAAAAAATATGTATAAAATATTCCTAGAATAGTATTCTGGTTAATTAGATTTTCACACTGTAAGTTAACCTTTTGTTTTGGCCTTGCTCATACAACTCAATTTGACATGGATTTTTGAAAGCCTTAGGCCAGGCATCAACCCAAGTGACCCTGATACAGAGATGCATAAGCATGGCCTTTGATCTTGGAGAAGAGGTCGGATTAGTGCAAGAGATATAAAAAGAAATATTTGAAAAATATATTTATCTATTTTGAGAGAGAGAGTGCACATGCGCCTATGCCCACGAGTCAGGAGGTGGCGGTGGGGGTGGGGGGGCAAGCAAGCTCCAAGCTGTGAGTGTGGAACCTGACCCGGGGCTCCAACCTCTCAACCATGAGATCATGACCTGAGCTGAAATCAAGAGTTTGTTGCTTAACCAACTGAAAGAAACATTTAAGTCCCGTTTTCGTCTGACACTTGGAATTGCGATGTATGTATGTGGTAGAGAAATAATCATATCAGAAAAGGGGGTAAAATCTGAAAAGTCTTCACAAAGAAGGCACTGGTTCTATTAGGTTTTGATGGGGGTGCCTGGGTGGCTCAGTTGGTTAAGCCGTCCGACTTCGGCTCAGGTCATGATCTCATGGTTCGTGGGTTTGACCCCCGTGTCGGGCTCTGTGCTGATAGCTCCGAGCCTGGAGCCTGCTTGGGATTCTGTATCTCCCTCTCTCTCTGACCCTCCCCTGCTCACGCTGTCTATCTCTCTCTCAGAAAGAAATAAAACATTAAAAAAAATCTATTAGGTTTTGATGGATATAGGAGAATCCTCCAGGTGAGTGTGGAGGGAAGGCCATACACAAAGGGAACCACATGCTGGGAGGCCTTGAGGCTTGAAAGAATAGGATCATTGATATTGATAGAGGAGTCATTTCAAGTGTCAAATGAAGGGGTGGCCAGAGAAGAAATCTGAGAGGTAGCCTGGAGTCAGATGTTAAAGGGAGATGTATGTTTGGCTGAGCTGCTTGGACTACATTTCATGCGCCCAGAGAATCTTTGAAGGATTTTAAGCAGGAAAGAATTGGAAACGTAAAACTGTATTAGTATCTCCTTTCTACCTCAGGAGATATACTGAACAAAAATGAATCTTTTACTGATGATTGAAGGTCATTCAGTGAAATTCTCAATGAATATCAGTTCTCATTTTACAAGGGAGCACGCTGAAAATATGAAAGGTGGAGGACATGGGCCTCCTCTGTCGAGACCCAGGAAGTCTTTCTTGAAGTTTCTTTATAAAATCAAATGATTATGAACTTATTTTCTCTTAATTTGTTTCATTCTTGTTAGTATTAATACAGGACTGGGGGAAGAGATGTCTGTTGACAGCCTCTAGGAATTGGATTTTTCCTCATTTTGCTGTAGAAGATCACTGGCTAATAGATGGTATCCACCGAAGTGCTAAGTGAAGGGGAAAGTGTCACTTTTGCATAGATTTTGGAGATTCTGTCTCTGCAGAGTAGAGACATATTCCTTTAAAAAAATTTCTTTTAATGTTTTATTTATTTCTGAGAGAGAGAAAGAGACAGCATGAGCAAGGGAGGGTCAGAGAGAGAGGGAGACACAGAATCTGAATCAGGTTCCAGGCTCTGAGTCAGCTGTCAGCACAGAGCCTGACGCGGGGCTCAAACCCATGAACTATGAGATCATGATCTGAGCTGAAGTCGGATGCTTAACCAACTGAGCCACCCAGTCACCTGGAGATATATTCATTTTTCCCTCTCTTAGTTACTTAACATCTAATAGTTACTATATACATGTACAGTGTACTGAAAAGAATTTACAATATAAATGGTAACAATTTTTCTAAGGAAAACTAATTCCTGGCTTCACTGGTAGTTCTGTGATGTGGTTTACCTTTGTGTATAAGCAGGGAGAATAAATGATCATAATGTATTTCACCCTTTAAAAGAGTTTTAAAACGATCTATATACAAGGATGTTTAAAAGCTTTAGTCATATTGGCACATGGGTAGAATATTTTACTTTTTGTTTTTAAAAGTAGTCTCTACACCCAATGTAGGGCTCAAACTCACGGCCCCCAAGATCAAGAGTTGCATGTTCTACTGACTGGGTGAGCCAGCTAGGCGCCTCTGGGAACATTCCTCTTTAAAGAATGGGGATCTAGGGGCGCCTGGGTGGCTCAGTCGGTTAAGCATCCAACTTAGGCTCAGGTCATGATCTCACAATCTGTTCGAGCCCCACATCAGGCTCTGTGCTGACAGCTCAGAGCCTGGAGCCTGCTTCAGATTCTGTGTCTCACTCTCTCTCTGCCCCTCCCCTGCTCACTGTCTGTCTCTCGAAATAAAGACATTAAGAAAAAAAAAAAAGAATGGGGATCTAGCTTAAGGATGAGAAATAAAGGTATGGGACAAAATCCCTCTGAAGGGGAAAGTGCACATTGTAAATTTCTCCAGGAGATAGTCTGTCTGAAGGGGACTGGCTCAGTAACACTGAACATTCTTACGGATGACCTGCATATTGGAAACTCTTGATCTGCAGATTTTCTTTATTTTTTTTTAGGATTTATTTGTTTTTGAGAGACAGAGAGAGACAGAGTGTGAGTGGGGGAGGGACAGAGGTGGGGGGGATGGAGTGGGAAGGGAGACACAGAATCAGAAGCAGCCTCCAGGCTCTGAACTGTCAGCACAGAGCCCGACGCGGGACTCGAACCCACAAACTGGGTGTTCATGACCCGAGCTGAAGTTGGATGCTTAACTGACTGAGCCACCCAGGTGCCTCTTGGTTTGCAGATTTTCTAAAATTTTCCTCGATGTGAAACATTAATGGTGGCATTAGGAGTAGGAGGTTGGATGTGTGAGCTAAAAAGTGATAAACAATCTTATTGTGGGCAATTATGAAATAGAGAAAACAATATAAATTAATGTTAGGTCATGATCTCAGCATGGTTGGTTAAGTATAGGGAACAGAGTTTTGAGGTTACTACAGACTGGCTTCTGGAATTATGAGCCCAAATGCTCATATAATCTGATATTTATAATCTGGATATTATAAAACAGGTGTTTTACAAAGAACTTGAAAATATCACCTAGATCTTGAACGAAACTACAGTTGTGTACACATCTGATAGATTAGCTATTTTTATTTCCAGAAGATCATACTAGATATTAGAATATAGATTATTCTTAGTCTATTTATATTCTAACATAAAATATCAGAACCCAGAAGCGGTCTTAAAACTTGACAGTAGTAAATCAGGAGAAAACCGATATTACTTTACCTTGACTATGGTAAAACAAACAACAAACAAAACAAAAAAAACCCCTAACAACCACGAACCAAAATGGTATAGGCTGAAAACAGGGGTTTACTTACAGACACTTAACAAGAAATTTCTAGAAGCATCTATGAAGGCCATATAAATACAACCCAGATACTTCCTTGCCTCTTGCCCCTGCTACAAACACCTAGACTACGTACTCCCTTTTCCCTTTTCTGACTCTCCGGTATTTATGGGTATGTAACATTTTTGAGCTGAACTCACAGAAAAGTCTTTTGGACCACCTACGTTCCCCCCTTTCTGGCACAAAACTCCCTCCTAGGGTACTGCTGAGCGCTGCCACTTTCCAGGCACCGCTGGGCTACTACTGCAAATGCACTAAATAAACATCCTGAGGTCCAAAGGCTTTCAAAGTTCATTGGCAAAGAGGGCCAGCACCCTCAACCGTTTCCCCATCTCACATTCTTAGATGGGTACCCAGTGTTAGTTACAACTCCTTCGGTTCCTACAGCCCTGCTGGGAGACTGGGGACAGCATAACCCACGAGGGCTGTCGTGGAATTTCTCCTCTCACGGGCGAGGTCTTGCTGCGGGGTCTCCCTTCCCGTGCCAGGCTCCTTTTCTCTCAAGGAATAGCCGTCAGGTGCCCGCTTGGGCTCAACCTGGGCTCTCCCGGCGGCAGTTCTAGCAAGGGCGGGGGTGGGGTGTGGAGGGAGGAGGGGGCGGACGCCTTCAACTTTGGAGGCTGGCAGGAGAGGAACCATCTATGATGTAGTCTTTCCAGAACAGTACCTTCGCTTTCGTGGCAAACGCCGAGACAACACAGAGGACGTGAACGAAGCGGGACTTTTAATGGAAATGATTTAAATGGTTGTTTTGTTTTTTCAAATGAACGGTTGTGAGATAACGACCCCTCCAGGTTTACCTTTAGTAAAGCTCTTCGGGGTAGCGAAATGCCGGCGGAATCGACGGTGAGAGGAGAGTGGGCAGTGAATGAAAACTGAGTGAAGCGCAGGAGTTAGTACCACAAGTTCAGGTATTCTCACTCATTCTCACCCCTCCACTCACTAGACAACAGGACTCTGAGGTTCAGCAGGATCCCAGCTCCGGATAGATGATGACTCAACTCGAGAAGATTCGGAATTTTTCTCGTCTCCTTCTCCCGCTTTCCCCAACACAGGCTGTGAGTCTGTCTACGACCCTTACCACCATTTAAAGGGAAAGGCGCTTAGAAGAAGGCAAAGTAGGGAGGACTTTGCGGCTCTATTTCTCAAACCCGTAAAGGGAGAGCGAGAACGGGTAAGGGGCGTGCAGACTAACTCCTTCCTTGCCCAATCAGGTGCACAGGAAGATGTCTTTTTACCAATAAAAATAAAGTTCGCTTTCCGGAGGCGGGAGGGTGAGCCTTGACTGCCAGTTCTCCAAAGCAACGATAGAGTAGAAGACAGAGAGTGATTAGAGGCAGGACCAACCCGGGGAAAGGGGCGGGGCGGGGGCGGGAGCCGCTCTGAGCGGCGGCTGGACTGGCCAGTGGGGTGCGAGGATTGCTGTTCCTGTTGTAGTGTTTCTCGCCAATCAGGGAGGCGAGGGAGTAGGCGGGGCGGTGAAGGGGTGGGAAGAGCTCTCAGCACCGCCGGGCGTCCGTCGGGCTCAGGGGGAGAGGGAGAAATCCGGTTAAAATCAGAGTCGGAGGTTTAACCACAGATCGGTTCCGATCGGATTATTCCTTAAAGGGGACGCGCCATTGTCAAGAGAACGGAGCCCGGGGCCCGAGGGCGGGGACCGGCGGCGCCCGAGGAGCGAGGCAGCTGCACTTGAACTGGGGACGGGTAGGTATCGCCTGGGGAAAGACGCTTCATTTCACTTTCTCTTCCAGCCCCAGGGGCAGGCGCCGGGATGCCCACCGCCGGGCGGCCACAGCCTTGGCAGGAGACGAGGTCGCCGGCCCTCGCCCGGCTGCCCTTCCTGATGCGAGCCGAGGGGGAGGCGGGCCAGGATGGCTGGCAGGCTGCGGCGCCCGGGCAGCGACTCTTAACGGACGGTAAACGGCGGCGCAGCCCCCGCCTCTACCGAAAACCCGCCGGAGCGGCAGCGGGTCCTCGGGGAGCGCCGCGCGCCTTGCTCCCCCGCGCGCCCGGCTCCCGTCGCGCGCGCCGCTTCCTCGCGCGCCCGCCTCCCCTCGCGCGCCCCCCGCCACTCGGGCGCCCGCCTTCCCTCTCGCGCCCCGTTTCCCTCGCGCGCCCGGCTCCCCTTTGCGCGCGCGGCTCCCCTCGCGCGCGCCGCCTGCTCGCCGACTCGCGGGAGCCGCCCCGCGGGCAGGAAGGCGGCGGCGGCCAGGCGGAGGGAGGCCGGCGGCCACGGCTTCACCGCCCGGGCCGTGAAGGGAGGGCTGAGGAGCAAACTTGGCGCGGCAGCTGGCGGCCCCCGGCGGGAAGAGGCGCTGGGGACCCTTGGAGCGCGCGGAGTCGCCAGCCCGGCCCAGCATTGTCCCTCTTTTCCTCTGCTCTGGTTTCTCCGCCCACTGCTCGCGGTCGCACCCCTGCACCCGGAGCCTGCCGGAGCCGGAGTCGGCCCCGCGGACGCCGCAGCCCCGGCTCGAGGGCCGCCCGGGCCTGCGGAGCGCCTTCGCTGCTCTCGGTGTCCGCACCGGCGCGGGCTGCCCGGGCGCTGAGCTCTTCCTTGCAACTTTTCTTTGCGTGGGGATGGAAGTTGTGTCTTCCGGCAGCAGGTTCTTTGGTCAGAGACTCTTGATTTCTAGGGCGAGATGGTTCTTGCGTGCTGTCGGTTTTTCCTCCCATCCCAGTTTCTTTCCCCGGCTCCGAAAATCGCTTTTCTCGTGGATTTGCAGTTATACGGAGCATTATCTCAGGCCAAGATAATAGGAAAACAACAACAAAAAAGGGAGCTTTTTGATGACGGTTAACAGCTCTACATAGAGCTGAATTTGCCATAACCTCTGAACCTCGGAAAGTTACCTCGATTTACTTTGCTTTTTTTTTTTTTTAGAAGAAAAAAAACCCCACACAACAAAACCAACCCACGAGGTTACTACGGTCTATAAGATTAGGAAAAAAAATACCTTTTTTAAGAAATGAAGTTAGTTTTGTAAAGTAGCGTTCTGCCTAACAAGTATCAGACATGGAGTTAATTTCTCCTACAGAACCTCTATGCCTTATAATTAGTTATACCAACTTTCACTGTTCATAAAACAAGTGTAAGATTTTTTTCATTCTGAGCATTATTGCTGTGCTCTACTTGTCAATACTTGCAAGAGAAATCATTTAGAAACAGCACATCCCTTGTTAGAGATCTTATTTAGAAAAGGAATGTTTTCATAAGCATTCATTTTTGACAGTTTCTTCTTGAGCAGTACTTTGTAGAGTACTTGCATGTGCAAGTTACAAGCCTATAAACAAAGTAGCAGTGGGTGTGTTATTCTGTAGTCTTTTTTTTTTTTTTTTGCTACACATGATCAAAAATAGCATTCCATCCTCTCTTTTCTTCCATTCTGAGTTATTTTGTAAAATTACTTCTCTGGAAGAGTGAGTTTTGGTGGAACGCCTGGCCCAGCGATTTTTTTTTTTTTTAATGCAGTACTAACAACTTCCCAAAGTGTTCCTTGATTAACTCACTGTCTAGTAACTTTCAGTGGTGTGGAGCGTTATCATTTCACAGTCTGGGCAATAACAAGAAAGGAGAAACTATTCCGGGGAAACTGAAAGCCAATTTCAGATAATAATGTTGCAGAAGTACTTTATTCTTCCCACAGAATTTAGGAAGTGCAGACACACAAAAACATGTTCTTTTCTAGTAATCTTGATAGTATCTTGCGTTGTTACTACACCTGTATTCCTCTCCCCCCTCCCCTTTGATCCTCTTCTGTGATAAGGATGTCAGGCAAGGTTGCAGGCATAATCTTCCTTTCTGTCTCCTAATGTTTTAAGTAGAAGATTAAAACAAGTTTCCACATTTCTATCTTTGTTTTCCAGCTTAAACAATAGAGGAGAGAATTTCTGAACTTGTAAAAGAGCACAGTCAGAAAGAATTATCTTTGAAATATCTAGGCTATGCTTCCTGGAAAACATTTTTTTTTCTGTGTGCTTTTCGTATTGTTTTAAACACATTGTCTTACTCGAAAACATTCCCAAGATACTTCTTGAGTTTGTGAACTGCCCCTTGAGATCCTTGGGAACTAGGGCTATCCTTCATTTTTGTGCACAGTCACTGTGTCATAGTAAATATGTTAGGACTTTATGACAATGAGATAGTGTTCTGTAAAGGCTGCTTCAGAGACTTATTTTTTTTTTTTTTAATAAGCACCTTTCCTCAACAAGTTATACCAAGGCACAGCGATTAGTTCAGTGTCTAGGGGAAGCATCTAGGATGCTTTTTGTTCTTTATACAAAAAAAAATGTAATTTAATTGTAATATCTATTCCACAGACCTCTCTTGTGACAGAGATAGCTAATTGTCACAATTAATAGCGCTAGGTTTAACCCATCAGTAATATCTGTTGAGTATCCATTTATTTAGAGAATATTATGGAAAGATAAAGTAGAAATGGATGACAGTCATTGCTCTCAAAGGTAAACAGTTTAATGGGAAGATGCAACATTATTGCCCATAGGAAAAAGTGCATATCTCAGCCCAGTAACAGGTGCAAAGTGACCGAGACACAGGACTTGTGCCCAAATGGTAAAGGAATAGTGGTATCATAGAAGAAATCTAGGTGAGATGGGAACATTTTCATTGCTTTATATAGCAGGTTTTATATTTTTAAAGAAATTTTAAAAGATAAAGTATGTTTGGGGGTTGGCTGGGTATACGTTCTCTACTTGAACTATTTTTATCTATAAAATATGTTTTTGGGGCAGAGCATGTGCTCTGAATTTCAACTGTTGTTCCCTCACTAGAGGGATCATCCATCCAACCCAGCTCAGATGTCACCTTGGCTGCAAGCTCTTCTGATCATAAGTGATGCTCTTTCCTCTTGCGCTTATGGAACCTTTTATAGCACAAGCCTTGCTCTGACTTAAGTATGGGTATGATTGTATTTTCTTCATTAGATTGTAGACTTTGGTAAGAGACCATTAACAAAGGTTGGAGTTCCCCGTCTTTTTTTTTTAACAGTTTCCTAAGGTACTTGAGCATTTTTGTTATCCCATCAGTATTCTGAAGAAAACCATAAGCTCTAAAGAAGTTCAAATTGTTCTGTTTGGAGAAAGTGTCTATGTGCGTTGAGAGGTAGAGCCATATTCCCCTTACCACCAATGCTTCACGTGCTAGTGTAAAATATTGATAGGAAAGAAAAGTACAGTTTGGGAATTGAAAATGCCCCCCATGCGCTTCCATGATCACATTATAACTATTGGTAATGGCTTGGTGTTTATTCTTCCAGGTTTTTCCCTGTCTTTTATTACCTTCTTGTAGAACTTGCCATAAACTGTCATATTTGAAAGTTTAATTAGTAAGTTGTGTTTATTGGGAATGGAGAAAGAGAATCAGTTCTTACACACTTATTTATTATCACATTCTCTGGGCTCACTTCTGTCTGGCTCTTCTACTTTTTCTTGAGATACAGGGCTAGCACTATGCCTTTGTGTTCAAAACATTTCAAAAACTGAACAATTTACCTGCCTTCACCCTAAAATATTTTTGGAGCACAGGGGCTCCTGGGTGGCTCAGTCAGTCAAGCAGCCACCTTTAGCTCAGGTCATGATCTTGAGGTTGGTGGGTTCGAGCCCCTCGTTGGGCTCTGTGTTGACAGCTTGGAGCCTGGAGCCTGCTTTGGATTGTGTCTTCCTCGCTCTCTGCCCCTCCCCTGCTCATGTTCTGTTTCTCTCGAAAAATGAATGAAAACATTAAAAAAATAAAAGAAAATATTTTTGGAGTACATCCTCCTGAACTTAATCTCTTTCATTTCTTGATTCTTTTAATCTCTAGAGAGCATTAAAAATTGCTTTGAGATTGCCAACAGGCACCCCTTGTAGAAGCCCAGGGAGGAATGTGGGAAGCCATTTCTTCATAATCAAATCACATATCCAGGTTGTATTCATACCTTATGTTGCTCATTCTGTGAAGGGAGCTACAGGGACACCTGGGTGGCTCAGTTGGTTAAGGGTCTGATTCTTGATTTTGGCTCAGATCA